GGTATTTTTGTCCAACAGAATCAGCCCTGGGCCAGGAATCTGCAGGACCAGCCCAAAAATGCAGTTTCCGGTCACTCAAAAACATTGCAGACAAAAAGCCCGAGACTCCAGATTCAATTTTTAAGCCAGGATAGAGGAAACCCAACGTTGAGTTGGGCATTTATGTACAGTTTAACCCAAAAAACAAAAAAAACTTCACAATCACAGCAACCACCATGCAAATCAACCATAAAGCAATTATATTCAAAACACATTCAACTCGAATAAACCCAGACATTTCAATAAATCTGCCAAATTACATGGAAATTTCTGAAAAAGAAAAGTAAATCCGTACCTAGAATGGTTGTAGTTCTTCTTCTTCTTCTCTGCTCTTACCCACAAACAGAAAGACAGAAAAAACTAGATCTGAAGAGAAAATCTTTAAAAAAAAAATCCAAAACCCCCTTATTTATACAAACCCTAAAATAAGAACCCTAAACATCTTCCTTGTTTACCACCGTAGATATCATCAACCTTGCCTCTGCGCCGTAGATCCAAGTTTGCCATTGACAATTTCTGGCTAGTGAAAGCGAGAGGCTTCTTAATGGAAGAATGGGGGAAGATAATTATTTTGCCGAAGGAGGAGGCGCTGGGGTTCGGTTAGCAGAACTCTAGCCCTTCCCCTTTTAGTTTTTCTTTTGCCCTTTTAGTATCAAAGGTACGTCGTTTGGGGTTTTATTTATTGTCCCCACTCTGATCCTCGGCCCCCATAGATTTTTTTTTATTAATAAATTAATATTTAATAATCACATTATATTTCAATTAATTTATAAATTTATAATTAAATTGTTTTAAATTTTATTTAAATTTTTTTAATACTTATTTTTTATTTATAAAATTTAAATTCAAAATTTTATTTAAAATTTTTTTTTCATTTAAATCAATAACTTGTTGGTATGGAAGCATATAGAGAATCTCTATTTAACCGATCTATGGAATCACACGTGGCCTTGCTAACGAGAAATTGTTTCTGTCCACTGAAATTTCGGCCTTTTTTTTTATTTGGTAAAATAAAACTTCGGCCTCGCGTAATGAGGAATGGGCGGAGGGCGGTGACATAAAACAATAATTTTTTAATTATTTTTACATAACTTTTATGTTTTTTATATAATTTTTATATATTAGGTGTATTTAATATTATAAATATTAAATAAATAAAAATAATTAATTATTTAAATAATACTTGTTGTTGTACCAAATAGTAACATTAAAAAATTATTCATAAATAATTTTTCAATGAGAAATATTGTGGATTGATTTTTTAAATATAGATTTTAAATAAAAATTTAATATACTATATAAATGATAATTGAAATTTTTTAAATCAAATTAAAATATCTAACAAAAATTTCATACAAAAAGAAAAAAATTATTTAACAAAAATTTCATATTGTTTACATTATAAATTGTAAAAATTTAAGATCATGTCACGTATTAAAATATTTTTAAATGAATGGAAGAGATTTTGCTATGTCAAATATGCAATTCTAGATGCCATGATAGATCAGCTGTCATATTGTAAGAAATGAGGTAAAAAAAAAAGATTTTATCTTTTAATTACTTTTTTGAGTTAAGTTGGGTTTGTTTTAACTAGAATTTAGGAGTAGTTGTCAGTTATGGGTATCGATTATGAGATAATGGGACATGTGGCAAAATCTGGAAGGCAATTTGACCATGTCAACTGTTGAGGTGTCCCACTTCTTCAAGAAAACTACCCACAATTTGGTAACTGTAGAAAGTGGGAAGTTACAATCGAAAAAAAGAGAATAAAAGAGAAATTTTGGAAGGGAAAAAGACACAGCCAGCCCTACTCAAATACCTGCAAATTTTCAGATGTTCATTTTTTTTGCAATTACTTCTAGATTTCGGATTTCAACACAATTTCCAGTAGATCTAGGTTGTTTTTTTTTTTTTTCATCATTCCAGTAGACAAATTAATTCATGTATTCACTTCAACAATTTCATTTCATGTAATGAACTTCAATCTTTCAAATTTATTCAATGTATTATTTTTTTTCTACCTGCAATTAATTTAATGTTTATGATAAGTAACATTTCTTCAATGATTACTTTCATGACATTCACGCTTCTTCTCAACTTCAAGCATGTGAGTTTAATTCCTGTTCATATTTGTTTTAATTTTAATTAGGGTAAAATCTCTAATTTTGTAACAGTTTAGTTTTCATATTTATCAGTAAATAACATTTTAATTTAACAGTGAACATGTCTAATTTAATTTAGGTACATCTTGTTCTCATAAATTTATTTTAATTTGCATGCTATTTAGTTTAATTAGGATTTGATAACTTTAATTCACGATAGTGTTTAAATATTTGGAGTTGTCCAAGGTAAATTTCGTAACCCATTTTGCATGAAGGCATTCCTCCCTCTTGCAAATTGTATGTAGGCACAGATTTTAATTTTAATCCAACGTTCTTCCTACTATCCGCAAGGAGGTCGATCTTAAGGAAAGAGAGGGTCATTGGAAAAATTCTTATTTTTTACTTTCAATAAAGTAAGTGATACACTCGCATTTAGATTTCACACGTACGAGGTCACTAGAGGATTTTTGGAGAAACACATTGTTTCCTCAAAAATCCTAAGCCGGCCTTTACCACGTGAGTTGGATGTTAGGCGTGCCACTTGCTTTGTTTAAAAACAAGAAAATTGGATTTTCCAAATGACCCTTCTCCTTTCCAACGGTCGACCTCCAATAGGATGGCTGGAAAGAACGTCTGTGAAATGAATTGCGCCCCAGACGATGTTGCAAAACAGAGGGTAGAGTTCTGCAAAATGGGTTACTAATTGCCT